TGAGAAACTCTCTCTTAGGTTATCCATTGTTTTTCTTGGCTCTTCACCAATCCTCAGAAATCTTCTCCAACACCAAAGTTCAAAGACCCTTAGAAAACAAAGGCAGACTTTCCAAGCCTGCTTATTGTGTTTCTTGGGGGGAGGGGGAGTTGTTCCTTCAATACAGGTAGTCCTCGACTTACAACAGTTCATTTAGTGACCAAAATTACACTGGCATTGAAAAATAGGGACTCTGGACTGTTGTTCCAAAGTTACCACCTTTGCAGCATCCACATGGTCAGGTGATCAAAATTTGGACGCTTGGCAACTGGTTGTATTTAACAGATAACAGAAAATCAGAGGTGGAAGGGGCCTTTTAGGGCAATTTAGCCCCCCCCCCCCCCCCCCCGCCCAAGCAGGACACCCTACACCATTTCTGACTGTTGGGAGTCCAATCTCTTCTTGAAGGTCTCTAGTGATGAAGCTCCCACAACTTCTGAAGGCAAAGCTGTTCCATGGGTTGATTGTTCTCCCTGTCAGAAAGTTTCTCCTTATTTTCAGGTTGAATCTCTCCTTGTTCAGTTTCCATCCATTATTCTTTGTCTGGCCTCATGGTGCTTTAGAAAATAGCTTGACCCCTTCCTCCCTGTGGCAGCCCCTCAAATATTGGAAGATGGTTCTCCTGTCTCCCCTGGTCCTTCTCTTCACTAGACTAGCCATGCCCAGTTCCTGTAACCGTTCTTCATGTTTTAGTCTCCAGTCCCCTAATCATCCTGGTTGCTTGGTTGTTTATGACGGTTGTAGGGTCCCAGCGTCATGCAATCCCCTTTTGCAACCTCCTGGCAAGCAAAGTCAATGAAGGAAGCCAGATTCACTTAACAACCAGGTTAGTACTTTATCAACTGCAGGGATTCACTTAACAACTGGTACAAGAAAGGTCCTAAAAGGAGCCCAAAACTCAAACATCTCGCTGAACAACTGAATCGTTGGGCTCCATTGTGGGGGTAAGTCCAGGACCTATCTATTTCCAATTTCCCTCACAGAAGGGGGAAACCTCCCCCCCCCCCACACACCAAAGCCTAAAACGCGGGGAAAAAAGCGGTCAGTCTGTGACGGGTGTTGCCAATGGGGCACTACTCCAAGGCCGCCACCTGGCTCAGGTGCGCCGGTGGGAGGTGGAAGCAGCTCAAGGTCTTAACCGCGGCGAGGGGAAAGATCAAAGGCAAGGGGCGAGGGAAACCCCGAGAAATCTAGTCTGAGGATTCTAGGTGGGCGTGGCCAGAGGCCGGCTGGGCGGGGAGGCTTGGGCTCCTATGAAAGGGAGCGGTCGGTTTCGCGGCGATTTCGATTTGTTTCCCCCTGTGTTCGTTCCTGGCGCCCGTGTCATCCTCCGCGTGTCTGAACGCGCGCTGCTCTTCTCGTTGTACCAGCAGGGTCCGGAAGTTTTCCTTCTGGCTTTGGGTATCTCTCTCTCTATATATATAGTTAAACTCTCTCTCGGTCTTAAATCTGCTTTGTTGAATGGCTCCGTGTTTCCTCGTTGCCTTAGAATAGAATAGAACTGGAAGGGACCTTGGAGGTCTAGCCAGCCCCCTGCTCAAGCAGGAGAGAACCTATAGTATTTCAGATAAGTGGCTAGTTTCTTCTTAAAAACCTCCAATGATGGAGCTCCCACAATTTCTAAAAGCAAGTAATTCCACTGGTTAATTGTCCTCACCTTTAGGAAGTTTCTCCATAATTGCTGGTTGCTTCTCTCTTTGGTTAGTTTCCAACCATTGTTTCTCGTCCTGCCCCCTCTGGTGCTTTGGAAAATAATTTGATCCCTCCTCCTCTTTGTGGCAGCCCCTCAAATGCTGGAATATGCTATCATGTCACCCCCTAATTCTTCTTTTCTTTAGACTAGCCAAACCCAAATCCAGCAGCTGCTCTTCATATGGTGTAATCTCCAGGCCTTTGATCATCTTAGTTGCTCTTCTCTGAATTTTTTTCCCCAAAGTCTCAACATCTTCTTTCTAGTGTGGTGACCAAAATTGGTTGCAGTATTCCAGGTGTGGCCTTGTTAGGGTTTTATAAAGCGGCACTGATATTTCATGTGATCTTGATTTTATGCCTCTGTTTATACAACCCAGGATTGTATTAGCTTTTTTGGCTGCTGTTGCACACTGCTGGCTCATATTCAAGTGATTGACCACTAAGGACTCCAAGATCCCTTTTACTGTTTTTGAACCAAGCCTTGCCTAATCTGTACTTGTACCTTTGATTTTTCTTGCCTAAATGTAAAACTTTGCTTTTCTCCACATTAAAATTCATTTTGTTGGATAGGGCCCATTGTTCAAGTTTGTCAAGATCTGTTTGGATCCTGAGCTTGTCTTTCAGGGGTGTTCGCTATGCCTGTTTAGTGTCCTCTGTAAATTTGATGCGTGCCCCCTTGTATTCCCTCATCAACAGGTTTTGGAATTGAAGTTGCCTCCGTGCCCTGGTATAATGATGTGCAACGCAGCATAATTAATAAATGAATTGCAGTGTTATTTATTTACATTGTTGTGGGAGATGACATGGCATAAATAGTAAATATTAATTAAAAAGTAATTTAGTAGTGTTTAATAGCTAAGTGCTTATTTGATTTTAAATAATGTTTAGAACTAAATGCAGATAGTTTTCGACTTACAACATTTTGCTTAGTTGATCAAAGTTACAACGGCACTGAAAAAAGGGACTTAGCACCGTTTTTCATGCTTATGACCATTGCATCATCCCTATGACCACGTGGTCTACATTCGGATGGTCGACAACTGACTCACATTTATGACAGTTGTAGTATTCCAAGAAAAGTGGGGCAAAACCCATTTAACAAATTTTTCACTTAGCAACATAAATGTTGGGCTCAATTGTCGTAAGTTGAGGACTACCTGTATATTTAGTTTTGATAAGTTTTATTTTAAATGGTTTATTTCCTGCTTGTGCACCACTCAGAATGTGGTGCAAGATGGAGATGCCATATAAACGTTCTAAATAAATAAATAAATGCTATCTTATGGGGACTTTTCAAATGTCAGTTTCAAATTTTCAAACATTGTTTTTTGACTAGGGGAGTCAAATGATGAATGGAAAGAACTGAGGTTTTTGGGTTTTTTTTTATTTGCTCCAATTCTTGTCCCCAATTCTGAAGGAGTGGTATCTAAGTGAAAAGAGAGTTTTCTCCAGTGGTGGGTGTTAGGAATGTAAGTTACCTAACAGTTGGGTTGGAAAATATATAAACCAGGATAGACATTTTAATACTGTCTCTTTAAGGGAATGCTAAAATGGTAATTGGGCGTGGTTCCTCAAACGGCCATAAGATGGAGCTAGAAACCTGGGTTGTTCTGTTCTGTTGCTGCCAAGAGCATTGCCGTTCCTGCATTTTCCCTATTGACTGATCATAGTTCTTGGATTTGATGTAAGTCTGTTACTGAACTGTTTTTGATACTGGACTTTGATTTTGGATTATCCCTGGACTAAAAACTGACTGCTTTAACTGTATATGACTTGGGCTGTGTTTGGACTTTGTTTAACCTTTTACTGGAAGTAAAACCGACATTTTACTATACAGTGTAGCTGTGTGCTGTGTGTGTGTTATTCAACATTACTCTCACTACATCTCCCTGTGTGTGCTCATTCTCCTAGTGGGGAATTACCTCAATAGTGGGATTCAAATTTTTTTACTATCAGCTCTGTGGGTGTGGCTTGGTGGACATGGTGTGGCTTGGTGGGCGTGGCAGGGAAAGGTTATTGCAAAATCCCCATTCCCTCCCCACCCCACTAACCTGCTTTCCAGCTCTGTTCTCCTATGCAGGGCAACCAAAGAAGACCCAGCCAATCACTGGGACTCAGGAGGCAGAGAATAGATGGGGGCGGGGCCAGTCAGAGGTGGTATTTGCCGGTTCTCCGAACTACTCACAATTTCCGCTACCTGGTTCTCCAGAACTGGTCAGAACCTGCTGAATACCACTTCTGGTTTTCTCCCTTAAATTTTGTGAGACAGTAAAAGAACTTTTTTTTTTTTAAAGAGGAGAAAAATGTCCTCAGATGTATGTATTCTGATATGTGGGTGGAACTCATTTCAATGAATTTGGGGGACAATGGACAGAGATTATTTGTAAGTGTACTTCTTATGTGTACAGGTAGTTCTTGGCTTATGGCCACAATTGTGCTCCAAATTTCTGCAGTTAAGTGAGTTTTGTCCCATTTTACAACCTTTCTTGCCAGAGTCGTTAAGTAAATCATTGCAGTTATTAAGTTAGTAACCCTGTTGTTAAGTGAATCTGGCTTCCCCAATGGCTTCGCTTGTCAGAAGGTCGCAAAAGTGGGTCACGTGACTCTGGGACACAGCAACTGTCATAAATGTGACCCAGTTGCCAAGCGTCTTGATTGAAATTTTGTAGTTGTATTTTAACTTTTTTTGAATTAAATAATGGAAAAAAGAACAAATGATTCTAAATCAAGTGCTATCTTGATTAACAACTATTTATTGTTATCAATGGTATCTGAGGGGGTCAGCCTATTTTTCAAAACACCTGAAGGCAGGACAAGAAACGATGGATGGAAACTATTCAAGGAGAGAACCAGAACTAAGGAGAAATTTCCTGACTCTGAGAACAATTACTTTGCCTTCGGAAATTGTGGGTGCTCCATCACTGGAGGCTTTTAAAGAGACTGGCCAGCCATTTGTCTGAAATGGTATAGGTTCTCCTGCTTGAGCAGAGGGTTAGACTAGAAGACCTCTAAGGTCCCTTCCAACTGTGTTATTCTTGTTAACAACTTTTTGGTGGGATTGGGAGAGAATCCCACCAAACAAAATGGGTGATCATCCCATCTCACCTTAGTTTCCTTTTCTTTCTATATAGGTTGATCTTTTGCAGGAGTGGCAAAGATAAATAAGTACATTTTTTTCAAAAAGCACTCTCCCTAAACTTTGATGCTCAAGCATTATTACACCCTCTGGGAAGAACAAAACCGGCCTTCAGCTTCTCGCCTTCAGCACCATGAGCCAGGAAATCACCGGCATGATATTCTGCTCAGAAGTGATCTGTTCCATTTGCTTGGAGTATTTCAGAGATCCCGTCATCCTTCAGTGTGGACACAATTTCTGCCACGACTGCATTATAAAATACTGGAGGGAGTTTGTGCTGAAGTACATTTGCCCTCAGTGCAAAATGGTCGCTGAGACGGAGACTGTTCTCCCAAACAAATCCCTGGAAAAAATGGCAAGGTTGCTTGAAAAGCTGAAGCAGGAGGCCAGAGGCAAAGAGGTCTGCGAGAAACATCAAGCGCCTTGGGAATATTTCTGCAGGAATCACCAAGCCCCCTTCTGCAAGTGGTGTGCTGGATCCAAAGATCACGAAGGTCACGTCAGGATCTCCTTGGAGCAAGCAACCAAAGAATTTAAGGTGGGTGAATCCTCTATTTCTAAAATAATGATGGAATAATAATATTTTTTTTTTTAGATAAAGGTAAAGTTTCCCCTCGCACATACGTGCTACTCGTTTCCAGCTCTAGGGGGCACTGCTCATCTCCGTTACAAAGCTGAAAAGCCAGTGCTGTCGGAAGACATCTCCGTGGTCATGTGGCCGGCATGACTAAATGCCAAAGGCGTATGGAATGCTGTCACCTTCCCACCAAAGTGGTCCCTATTTTTCTACTTGCATTTTTACATGCTTTCAAGTTGCTAGGTTGGCAGCTGGGACAAGTAACGGGAGCTCACTCTGTTATGCAGTGCTAGGGATTCAAACCGCCAAACTGCCGACCTTTCTGATCGACAAGCTCAGCGTCTTAAGCCACTGAGCACTGCGTCCTTTTTTAAAAAAAAATGTGGACAAAAGCTTGGATGGGAGCTGGCTGTGGGATTCTGGGAATTAAAATCCAACATCTTTTATTATTATTACTTTTTATGCAATTTCCTTTGTTATATGTAAATTTTCCATATCCACAATGGCGGTGTACTATCTGGGTATCATCTCTTTTAAATACAAATAAACCTTATACACACATTAATTATGACATTATTCACTTAATCTATTCACATAATCTTCACTTATCCTTATTAAACAGTTTCCATTATTTAATTAAACACTCCATTCAATTTTATCATATAGTTAATATTAGACCTTATAAACATCACATTTATCACCATTGTCCTCCAAATCTAATATATTTCCTTATCCTATTTATGAAACATTATTTAGTTATACGCTTACTTCATTTTTATTTATATATCCTCTTTGATTTTAATTTTCTAACTTCTGCTTCTATTTTCTAACCATTGATAAAATAGTTCCCAAGTTAAAAAGGATTCTGTGTCCTTCTTATCCTTAATCTTCAAAGTTAATCTATCCATTTCAGCACAATCTAATATTTTCTTTATTACATTTTCCTGTGTAGGTATATTTTCATTTCTCCAATTTTGTGTATACATCTTAAAGGAGAATATTTGTAGCTCAGGGTTGAAATGAGGGGTCCTTGGTGCTCTCTGAGCGTGCTTGTTTTCATGCAGACCTCTTTCATTATCCAAACTAGGTAACTAGCACTGATGATGTTACCTAGTTGGGTAATGAAACGTCTGCAAGAAAACAAGCAGGCTCAGAGAGGACCAAGGACCCCACACATCTTGAGGGGGGAAACAGTGACTTAAATATGCCAGAAAATGGTTTTCATTTTAAAAAAAGGAAGGAAACTTTTAAAAATCGAACTCTTTCCCATTTGTTTAGTAAAAAACAAAATGTCTAGTTGGAGAATTTTGACTCCCTGAATTGCAATGCATAAAAGACAAATAAATCAGATAGTCTGTTGCATGTATTTTCCTTCCAAAAGAGTTTATTATTACATGCTGGTATAATGATTTGATAAGGTGATGGGATAGTTATAGGTACTGCAGGATTGAAAAGCTCAGATTTTAATTTATTTGATTGCTTGATTTCTAAACAACTTTTCTTTCAGACACACATGGTAAATTTCGTATGTAGTGTCACTTCCTCCCATTATTTGCCGTAAACTATGGTTGGGTTAAGGCAGGTTTGGCAATTACTGGTCCCATTTTAAGTGAATTACAGCTCTCAAAATCTTCTGCCTTTTAATAAAATGCAGGTAGTCCTCCGCTTACAATCACAACTGAGCTCCACATTTCTGTTGCTCAGATAGTCATTAAGTGAGTTTTGCCCCATTTTATGACCTTTCTTGCCACATTAGTTTAAGTGAATCATTGCAGTTGTTAAGTTAGCGACATGGTTGTTAAGTGAAATCTAGCTTCCCCATTGACTCTGCTTGTCAGAAGATCGCAAAATGTTCCTACCCAGCCTTCGCAAGCAAGAAGAAACCACATACAAGTAAAACAACTCTCTTTGTTAAACAGGGCAGGGAACAGTCTTTATTCACGTTGGATAGACAAAACCAAAAATAGTTAGTCACAAATGAACGTCTTTTCCCCTTCTGAAATGGGGCACGAACAGTTTCTGTTCACATGAGAACTCAAGATAAAAAGTCCTTTGATAATTAAGCCAAACAGAAACAGTTCCAGTTCACACGGGCAAAGGCAAATTCACTCCCTATTATTTCCCAGCAGGGTGTTGTGGCCCATCAGCTGCCAGCAGAGCTGGCGGCAGACTCTGATGAGGAGGAGGTTGGGGAAGAACTTGGGCCAGTGCTGGAGCCTGGGGAAGGCTCTGATGGATGCTCTTCATCGGACGCAGAGATAGTCCAACATTTCCCAGCCCCCAAGAGGCAGCTGCCTTTGGAGGCTGATATGAGTGAGGAGGAAGAACAGCTGGGGCCTGTTCCAGATGCACATGTGCGCAGAGCTGTTAGGAGAGGGGAACAACGGAGGACAAGGAAGTGACTTGGGAAGCAAAGCACAAGTGGATGCTGAATGGCCCTTCCCTGGCCGGAGAATTAATAATAAGGAAAGGGGAGTGGTTGTCGTAGGAGAAAAAAAAATCATCTTTCTGAAGATTTTGCTCATTGTGTTTGGTGCCAAAAAGACTGCTTGCCAGAACTTAATTTGCAGCCTTTAACTGATAAGGTCTGTAGTGTAGTTAACTTTGAAGGACTATTGCCTGGACTTTTCGGTGGATGAATGCAGTTAATTCACAAGGGGTAAATAAAGAGGGGCTTTTCGTGACAAGAAGTCTGTTTCTTGTTTCTGCTAAGGCTGGGTCCGAACACGGAGAGTCAGTTAGCACCTCAAATATAGAGCAATTCATCCCGACAAACCTAGTTCTAGCAAAGGATTCTGACTTGATTGATGTACACTGGAAAATGAAAGATTCTCTGCGACAACAGGCCACTTCCAAAGCCCTACTATTTATTTTCCAGCCTGGGAGGGGCTGGATAGAGTCTACGAGTCTTCTTTTCCCTGAGAGCCGGCTTATTGCCTTCCGTTGCTCTCCTCTCCTCTCCTCTCTATGCATATACGCATCTAGGAGGAGCCCCATTTGTTCCCCCCATCGCTCAGCTCAGGCCCCGAAGACAGCTGCCTCTCCACCTGGGGGTGGATGGAAGGCCCCAGTGTTAGGGATACACCCTAGCAAGATCTGCAGGGCAGGCAGGCAGGCAGGCAAAATATGTGAGATGAATGTCTTTGTAGCTTACACTCAGCAAAACAGAGGCACAGTGCTAATTAAATACTTTTATTTCAGCAAGAGTTAAAGCATAGTCAAAACAGTCCATATATCATTCACTTAGTTCAGTCCGTCCAGGGATTATTCATTTGCAAATTCCAGTGTCGAAAAAGAGAGGTCAGTACACTTACAAATATCAGTCCGGTGATATATCTCCTCGCAGTAGAGAGATATGCAAAACTCAAAAACTCCTCTCTTCTGTCAGCAACTCTTCAGTAGGGGAAAGACGCAGCTAACAAACCATCAATCCAGTAAATTGTCAGTAATTGCCAGCAAACTGTCAGCGTCTCATCAGCAATCAATCAGGTTGTCTTGCTCCCTCTTATGGTGGTTTCACACCACACCCAAAATTACATGCTTTGCAGTTAAAGTGACACACACTTAAACTAACAATCATAGTTTATATATATTATTTTACCCAAACTACGTTAGGTGACCTATGTTATACCTAACACCCAGCTCTGCATCTGCCTCTGATTCTGCTTCCTCATCAAAGCCTTCCAAAGGCTCCAAAGCTGGCCCAGACTCCCCTCCCCCTCCTCCTCGTCTGACTCTGACATGCCACAACACAAAAGATGATCACATGACTCTGGGACATTGCAACTGTCATAAATATGAGTCAATTGCCAAGCACCCAAATTTTGATCCGTTTGTTCGTAACCCATTTGTAAGTGTGAAAAATGGTCGTAAGTTGTTTTTTTTCAGTGCCGTTGTAACTTTGGTCACTAAACAAACTGTTGTAAGTTGAGGACTACCTGTATGTTAATCAAAAACCTTATCTTAACATCACTCTGCTCTTACAGTGTTTCCCTCTTAACTCTTGGTCCAGCTATTTTGGGCTCTTGGGTGTTGTAGTCCGTAATACCGGAAAAGCTATCGATTCCTCATTTTTATTATAATTTTGTGTGATTCTTTGACTTCAATTGGCCCCAAGTTAAACACAGATTAACAGAGTTGGAAGGGACCTTGTAGGTCATCTAGTCCAACACCCCCATCCAAGCTGGAGACCCTACACTATTTCTGACAGATGGCAGTCCAGTCTCTTCTTGAAAGTTTCCAGGGATGAAGTTCCCACAACTTCTGGAATGAATGGGAAGTGAAGAAATCTTGAGAAAATAAAAGTGAAAAATAGGCCAAGAAATGTTCATTTGTGGTGAAGAAAGTAATGGTTTATAAAGCCAAATAAATGGAACTAGAACCTTTTGCCTATTGATTTTAATGAAGGAACCTGTTATTAATGACAGATGGCCTTCTGAATACGCTTATGTTTTTTTTCCCCCCAGGATTATTTCCGCGAGATCCTTCTTTACATAGAGAATCAGAAAAGTGTGATTCTGAAGCATAAAATAGGCGTAGAAAAAGAAAGTTTTGAAGTAATCGTAAGTGTCGATGTTGCTGGCAAGTCACTATGTAAGATTTTTTTTTTTTAAAAAAAAGCCAATTGCTTTTAATTTGTAAATGTGTGGAATGGCATCCTTCATTTGGAGGAATCTGATCCCTGATGTCTTCAAAATCTGGTCTCTGATATGGAACAAATCTAAATCATGAAGACCGATAAAGTTTGCAGCTCAGGGTTGAAATGAGCAGTCCTTCATTTGCTCTCTGAGCTTGGTTGTTTTCTGGCAGACGTTTCATTACCCAAATTAGATAACATCATCAGAGCTAGTCAAACTACCTAGTTTAGTCAATGAAACATCTGCAGGAAAACAACCGAGCTCAGAGAGCACCAAGGACCCCTCACTAGGAACACCATAAAGTCCTTTTTAAAGTTTGCCCCCAGTAGAATTCAAATCAAGCAATGTCTGAATCTAAATCTTAGTGAGTTGGGTAGACTCAGTCATTGGGACTGAGTTAAGATTTCGTATGTCATGAGAATAACAGAATAACAGAGTTGGAAGGGACCTTGGAGGTCTTTTAGTCCAGGGTCCCCAACCCCTGGTCTGTGAAACAGCATTGGTCTGTGGCAAGCCAGAAACCAGGCTACACCAACAAATGAAACTCCATCCACAGGATACAGACTGTTGTGGCCCGCCAGTGGCTAGCAGAGTTGGCAGCAGGGTAGAGGAGGTTGGGGAGGGATATGGGCCAGTCCTGGAGGCTGAAGAAGGCTCGGACGAGGGCTCTGCATCAGAGGCAGAGATGGGGCCAGGGCAGGCTGGCAATTATCAGCTGCCTTCAGAATTGGACAGCAGTGAGGCAAGGGAGCAGCTGGAGCCAGTTCCCTGTGTGCACATGCACAGAGCTGCCAAAAGAAAAGAACAATTACGAACTAAGAGTTGATATGGGGGTAAAGCCACAGGTGAATGGTGAATGCCTCCTCCCATAGGGATTAAAAGGGGAGCCAAAGGGAAGGAGGCTTTTGCAGGAAACAATTCATTCCTTCGTTCATTGCAGCAGTGTGAAGACCTGTCTGTGCATCTCAGAGACTCTGTGCTGAGTCCTTCCTTGTCAGCATTGCATTTGAAAATATTTACTTGGCAGCTCTCCAGGCTAGATAAGGTCTGTGCTCCTTATTAGACCCTTGAAAGACTGTTTGCCAGGCCTTCGGCTGAATGTGAATGCAAGAAATTCACCTTCGTTTAATAAAAGGGTTTTTGCCGGGAAAAAAAATGTCTGCTTAGTTCTTTTGGGGGAAGCCTACGTCAGAACACAGACAGTACACAAAACCACACCCGCTCCAGTCTGTGGAAAAACCTCTCTCCATGCAACTGGTCCCTGTTGCCCAAAAGGTTGAAGGCTGCTGTTTTTAGTCCATCCCCTTGCTCAAGCAGGAAATTCTACACCAGGGGTGTCAAACTCACCTGCGGGCCAGATTCAGCCCACAGGGTGCCTGGCCCAAAGTGCCTCTGCCCCCCCCCCCCCGCAAGCTCTGTTCTTGCTGGCAGAGGGGCTATCAAAACAAGCTAAAAATAAAACAAATTCGATTGCAGGAAATACGACTTCAGCAACAGAGTAGTCAACGCCTGGAACTTACTACCTGACTCTGTTGTCACATCCTCAGACCCCCAAAACTTTAACCTTAAACTGTCTACCGTGGACTTCACTCCATTCCTAAGAGGCCTGTAATGGGGCATGCATAAGCTTGCCTACTGTCCCTATCCTACTGTTCCCATTTATTCATGCTCATTTATTATGTATATACTTATACCTGTTTATGCTTATATGTTTAGATTATGTGCATCCTTAGATTTGTTTTCTCATACGTGCTTGACAAACCAAACCAAACCAATGTTTCCCCTTCTGCATTTGAGCATGCAAGAAGGGACAGGAAAGGAGAAAGGGAAAGAGGAAAGACAAAGGAAAAGAAAGGAAGATGGGAAGAGAGCAAGGAAGGAAAAATAAGGGAAGAGAGGAAGGAAGAAGAAAGGAGAATGAAGAGGGAAGGAAAAAGAAGAGAAGGAAGGGAAGGAAGGGAAGGAAGGAAGGAAGGAAGGAAGGAAGGGAAGGAAGGAAGGAAGGAAGGGAGATTATAATGAGAGTGAGGGAGGGTCTGAGGGAAGGCTTACCTTAGCACTTGGCCACCACAGGTGCCCCTGACACGAGCGATGTCAAGCTGGCCACGCAAACCATGCCCACTCCCAGCCCTCCAAGGTTAAACCCCTTGACTACAACACCCCAACTGTCTCTATTCTCCCTTCCCTATGCCTCTTCTCCAGCACGAGTCTCAAAAGAGCCTCAATCAGGCCAGCTTTAGGGTTGACACCCTTTTCTTTCTGTTGGATTCCCAAAGAAAGGGATGCAGACCTTGAGGAAAGAGACGGAGGACACATTTGAGGAGCTCCACCGCTTCCTCTACAGCGAAGAGCATACTCAGGCCGGCAAAATCGGTGAGGTGCAGAAGAACGCCATCCAGAAACGGGAGGAACGCATGGATGAGCTTTTCCAGGAATTCGCCTCCTGCGATAAGATGATGCGAGAATTGCAAAAGAAATGCAGCCAGCAAACAAACGGCTTCCTGCAGGTAAGCTGGTAGACATTGTGGAAATAAAGCTCTCCTGGGAAAGTAACTAAATTCTACTCCTGTGTTAATATGGATCAGTTGGAAACCTGGGGCTCTGCAGACAGTGAAGTTCAATTCCCAGCAGCCTAAATGAGCATGTCCAAAAGGTGTTCAATGCTGGGAGTTGTAGTTTAATTCAGAGGTGCCATTCAGCAGGTTCTGATTAGTTCCGAAGGAGTGGTAGCAGACATTTTGAGTATTTTGCAGGAAATAGGACTTCAGCAACAAAGTGGTCAATGTCTGGAATACTCTACCTGACACTGTGGTTTCTTCCCCAAACCCCAAAAACTTTAACCTTAGACTGTCCACTATTGACCTCACCCCTTTCCTAAGAGGTCTGTAGCAGGCATACATAAGTGCACCAATGTGCCTACCATCCCTGTCCTATTGTTTTTTCTTTTTTTTCTTATACGCATCCATTTCATGTATTCATAACCATGTTTATACTTATACCTGTTATCTAATACTTGCTTGACAAACAAACAAACAAACAAACAAATAAAAATAGTTCAGAGAACTGGCAAATCCCACCTCTGACTGGCCCCGCCCCCATCTATTCTCTGCCTCCCAAGTCCCAGCTGATTGGCTGGGTCTTCTTTGGTTGCCCTG